GGGCAGAAACAAGGTTCCAAATTCTGACCAATCTAGCAATAACAGACAAACTTCAGGGGCTCGGAGGATAGCTGGGGTTGGAAGTAACCTCACAATTGTCTAGACTACGCCCTGCTGTTCAGAGCAGGGTCAGCTAGAGCAGGTTGTCCAGGAACTTCCCTAGTCAGATTTTGAAATACCCAAGGATGGATATTTCCACAGTCTCACTGGGCAACCTGTTCTAATGTTTGATCACTCCTACCATAAGAAAATGTTTTTCCTATGTTTAAATGGAGTTTCCTGTACTTCAGTTTGCACTGATTGCTTTGTTCTTTCACTGGGCACTAATGAGAAGCATCTGGCTGCTGTAACACACTACCTGCTTCCCCTATTCTACCCTCCTAGTCAAAAAGTTTTTTCCTAATATTCTCCCAAGCCACATTTTGTGTCCATGGATGCTTCTTATATACTTTTCCACAAAATATAAAAGTTTGGCTCGGTCATCTTTGTAACTCTGCTTCTACTGCTATTAGATCAGCCTTTAGACTTCTCTGTGCCAGGAAGAACAAGCCCAGTTCCCTCAGCCTCTCCTCAGAGGTGATGTATTCTGGGCTCCCAACCAGCATGGTAGCTCCTCTAGTCTCTTTCCAGTTTCCCCTTCTTGAACTGGGGCCAAAACTAGACTCTGTATCCCAGGTGTGGCCTCCCAAGCACTGAGTAAAGAATAGTTATAATTGATCAACTAGCTATGCTCCTCTTAATGTAGTCCAATATGCAGTCTACCTTATTCACTCATTTGTTCTTCAGTCAAATCCTGTCCTTGCTCTAAAACATAAATATCTAACAATTGTTTGTAATGAATCAGTAAGTGTAATGACATAGTTAATCTATGCTGCTCTTGAAAGATATACACCAGCGTCTACTGTTTCATGTTCCAGTGGCAAATCTGTTAACCACAATAAATTAACATCACAGAAAACAATAAAATAGTTCAACCAAACTGAGTATTGCTGAGCCAGTCCAATACTTGGCATAGCTTCAGCGTTTGCACTGAATTATTCTGCTGGTCTATATGATGGGTCAGAGCAGACTTCTGGTATAAGAAAGGAGCCATCTGAAAATCGAAGATCAGTCTTTCTTAGTCAAGAAGGTCAGGCAGTAACACAAATTCCAGAATTGGCGTGTGGTATATGCAGAATCTGTTTATCTCCAGTAAAGTACTTCAAAGCCAGAGCATGACTTTTAGAAGTATTGACATGCACCTCCACCCATCCCTTCAAAAACTCTCACTCAAAATCCAAATCTTTCACTCTGGCCTAAATGAGAAATCTTGGCTGAAGGCCCAGCAGTCCTTGCAGTCTGCCTAAGCCAGGCTTGGGTGGACCCTGAAATGAGATACAATCTCTCTCTTTTCATTGTAAAGGCAATGGTTTAAAGATAAGCTGTAGAAGAGAAGGAAAATGGAGAGAATTGTATTCGCACTGAATGTTAAAAACTTCAAGAAAGAGTAAAGGTTGGGGAACAAAAAACTGAACATTACCTTTTTAGAATAATGAAGAAGTGAGAAAATGACTTTTTATTTAAATACTAAGCATCCTCTGCAAGGCATTTAAGAGCTTCCACTCCCAGTAGCTTCAGTGGGAGAGCCTGTACTTTGTCAGCTGTTTCCCCCTTCTTTAGCAAAACCATGAGATATCTGAAACACTTAGCTCATGCTAAATGATCATATGGCAAGTATTGTGATGATGACTGATCTTGCTGCCTAAGTGGAATTACACAATGAGCAAGAGTGGAAGTAAGTAGGTTTCTAAAAGTACTTGTGCTCTTAAGGACATGGTGGTGCATTGATTTCTTGACCTACAGCCCTGTTTTAGAAAACACTGCTACCCAATGACAGCTGTCCCCTGCCACAGCCATTGAACTAGGAGCTTCAGAAGAATCTTCAATACTAGAGTGTGATCCAAAGAGACACAGAGATAGTGTGCTCCCAATGAAGTGGCACAGAGAAGGCCCTGGAGCTTGTACCTATCAGAGGGTTACAGTCAGGGAGCAGCATGAACAGGATTGCCTCATGAAGGAGGACAAGTCAGCAGCCAGGAGTGACCCTGACATAAGCCATGCCCTCACCAACAAGACACCATCCCACAGGGGCTGAGCACAGCAGGCAGAGAGCCAGGGTCTGCAGCAGGGATCATCAACAGCCTGCAACACAAGTGATGAACCAGGGCCAGGGTGCACCCAGGGGCTCCAGTCAGGAGCAAAAGAAGATAGAGCTGGAAATAAGCTGTGACATATGACTGAGGGTACAAGCTAACTGCAGAGTAAGTCCAAGGTCCATTGGAAAGGCAGAGCTGGAGACAGACACACCCACAATATAGTTCAGGAAAGGACCAGATGCCCATTCCTGACCATATAGAGAGCCCCTGAACAGAGGAAGCATCAGTGAGTGTCCCAAGTGAGGCTGCTTGGGGCCATTAAGGCCTGTTAGTGCCCTCAAGGCACTGACAAGTTACCTCGCATGGCCCTAATTCCAGTATGAGGCATTTCACTGTGTTATGGAAAGATGTCATGTCAGAGAGCAGGGGCCAGCCGGAAGGACACCAGCCCAAACAGGAAGCGCAAGCCATCAACCTGGCTCTCCTTGTTCATAAGGACTAAGCATCTGTGCCCAGAGAGGCCAAATCCCATTTGCAAGAAATCATTAAATGTTGCACTGAGACCAGCTGATACTAGTAAGGCCTCACAATCCCTGTTGTCGACAGCTCATTCGCATAATTCATGGTTGCCTCCAATTATCTGTGGGAGATTTGCAAGCCCAACTCTCAGCCTGCGAAGGAGGTTCCACATGGGCAGGCACTTAATGAACAGATTGGATTATAAACACTAGCTAATCTTTCCCACATGTACACCTGAAGAATATCACAAGTGACAGCTGTTTAAATTTCCAAGTAAATTAATGATTCCTAAAGAGGCAAGGCTTATCAAGGCTTTGACTGGGCCTGATAACGGACAACCACCAAGGGGCAAATTGTTT